ACAAAATTTTATTATGGGAACATTAATTTAGTGGTTAAAGAAATAACATTAATTGAGTGCACTTGGACCTGCCTTGCCCTAATTGGATCCGCCCCTGCAAACCCCACCTTTATCAATGTCAGTGAGCATTTTTTCCAAATGAATTTCTAAATTACAAAATGTTATTAGTTTATGAAAATGAGTTACCCGATAAAAGTCGACGAACAGATAAAAAACCTAAATATTAAGAGTTGCATGTAATATTATTGAATTAATTTCATGTCTATTTAGGTTTTGATTTTCAAAGTAATATTTTCTTACCATAAAATTTAATTCTCTACCATTTTGTTCTTGTAAATACTAATGTAATTTTGTTTAACTATTTTGATAAGAAAAACAAGGAGATTACATTTTTATTTATTTCAAATTTGAAAAACTTGGAGATTACAGTTTCACTAGGAAAAACTACAAAATAACATATCCAAGTATTCCGTGTCTACCAGATTTTTGACCTATTCAGATGCAATATGGGTCGAAATCAAATGGAATAAAAAAATCCTCAAATGAGACTAAACTAAAATCCTACCAAATCTGATTCTCTCTTATTTCTTTTCTAAGATCTCTGATTCTCCCTTGTGATTTCAAAACCGTTCAAATGACAAGTATAACTAGGAAAACTCGGAGGATTCAAATTGAAATAATTAGTTAGGTAAGTTGAAATCATGCTTTCTTTTCGATTTTGTGTACACGGATGGCTTTCGATATATTGTGTGTGAGAGAGAGAGCGGGGGAGAGCTCTTTGAGATTATTGATGGATGGTCATATATGAATCTGACCTAATTGCAAGGGGATCGTAGTCTTCAGGGTTCTAAGATGCAAGCTTATAGTGTATGTAGATCGTTGAATCTAACGTTTCAAATTTATTCGTGATATTTAATTTTTCTAAAAACTCTAGTTCTAATTTTTTTTTTTTCAAAAATGATTTATAGAGAGGTAGTGTATCAATTTGGATCCACCTATGATCGGTTTATATATTTTTTTGAGTCAAGTTCATTGCGGTTTTACAAACTTAGTTGCTGGTTAGTTAAACAGAATTCATCAATTCAATTTTATTTGGGTAATTAAAAAGATAGATAGTTGTGTAGTACAATGATTGTACTAAATTGTTTGTATTGTAATAAAAAGACAAAAATGAGGAAAATGCGTTTTATTTTCATAACTAGACAAAAATTGGTGGACTCAACCCTAATATGGATAATTCGTTAATTTGCTTCATTCTCACTTCTGTCGGGGAATGTATAGTTCACTTGAAACAGTACACGGCGAACTAATGTACTTATCTAAGCATCTCAATAGGATTCTCGTACTAGAAAACAATAAAGATCAGAGAAAGGAGTTGAGAAAATTACAAGAAATTTTCATTTGAGAAATTATGAACAAAATTTGAGAAGTTCACATAATGATACTTGCCCCCAAATAAGTGGACAATTTTTTTTTTAACTTAAACGT